GTAGATTTCCGAAAATAGCCCCAAGGAGTCCCATGAATTACATGGTGCCATGTAGTAGTTCTGGAACCGTCTTACGCGTCCCGACGCGCGGCTTATCTACGAAGCCGAATTTACCAAACGGTTCAAACCCGGAAAATAAAAAAGTGCCCCAAAATTATATATTTATTTCTTTTTCTCCAACGATTTTCAAGTATTTACTAAAATGGACTTTGGGTGTGACAATATATGATTTAATTTAATAATAATAATAATAATAATAATAATAATAATAATAATAATAATAATAATAATAATAATAATAACATAACATTCATAATTTTTAAAGATTTTTCTATTGCAAATGGAGCTGGAAGAGTCATTGTTGACAATTCTCCTGACATAGTACTAATAATGGACTAGATCAAAATGACTCAATTAAATTTTAGTGCTTCTTTTATTAGTGAAGTTTCTAGAAAAAAAAATATATCAAACGACGCAATGCAGTTTGGGTCGCTACGGAAACAGTCTCCTTGTATATTTACAAATGTAAGATTTGTGTACAACTGACCCCCCATAACCCATACTGGTATGTTGTTGTATTATTCATAATTTTTAAAGAACCAAATACAATGATAGGACTTTAGTTTTGTCATTATTTATGGTTGCTGGACATATCCGCACAATCATTTATTAAATATGGCAGATTCTACGGAATCATTTTGTCGAGGTTTGTAATCGTTAGACAATTATCCACGACGGTTACATGATGATCTAACGATTATAAATTCTGACGGAGTGGTTCCGTAACGAGACTGTAGCATTTCCCAATCAATTAAGGACTTCATCTTCTCTTGTTTAAGTCAAAAAATAAATTAATGGGTATCTTAATTATAATTAACCCATTTTTTTTTTCAATGATGTCCTCAAGCAGGTAAGAGAATACAAAACTGAATAAGAATGTTATATATTTTTCTGTCTACTTGTATTTCCAATTACAATCTTGTAACATACTGTATACAAACTGCTAATGCATTTGTTAGACCAATTAATCAAATTATAATCCACTGATCAAGTATATATTAGTAGCATCACACACACTGTTAAAAATATTATCATATACGGTTTTCATGGTATTCATCAAAACTATATTTTATTAGAATCAACCTCTCTCTCTCTCTCTCTCTCTTTCTCTCTCTCTATATATATATATATAAGATGTGATGAGAACCCCGAGAATCGATATTTTTAATTCTACGTATTCTCGTTATTTTTAATTATATGTAGTGCTGTGATTGATCGTGTATTAGTGTTATTTTTAACTAAGATGTATTTTATTAAAAATAGCAACACAATCTATGTTAGCATTTGTGAAAATGATAAACCTTGTGATATTAAAAATAGCATCAAATAAAGGTTCTCACACCAAGACTAGTTGTTGTTGTTTTCTTTTACAACCCCTATATATAAAGAGATGAAGGATCAAATAAAAATGAGTTTTCCCATGAGAAATAATAATGATTCATAGTAGTTGGATGTAATATATCAACGCTCCATAATTTGTCAAAGACTCCGGCATTGGTCAAAGAGGTGGTGGCACTATTGTAATTATGGAAATTTTTTTATTTTAGCGTAGTAGCATTTTAGTTATTTTTTCCATATTATTATACTATTGAGCTAATGTGCACTTTCATCTAATGTGTATTTCTTCTAATGAAACTGCTCACCTGCCCACCGTGGGCAGTGCCCACTTTTTTGTCTTATATGAAAAACGTATTCTAAGAATACGTTTTTCAATTAAATTTAACTAAAAAACGTATTCTCAGAATACGTTTTTCATATAAGACAAAAAAGTGGGCACTGCCCACAGTGGACAGGTGAGCGGGACTGTTTCTTCTAATACTAATATTTGTATATGTAGGCCCAACCCATTTCTCATATGTTTCACAAAACCGGCCCATAGTTTATTTTGGGTCGGTCACGGGCCATGATATTGAGGCCCGCCGACCCGCCAGGCCGTCGCTCGCCCATCGAAATTGCCTTTTCCCACTCAAAAGCAACCGCCAAAAATCCCTCTCGATTTCAAAATACTTTCACGGGAAGCCACTAAATTTCGATTACTAAATACCAACGGAATAACGCAAAGTTTGCAGTCTCATCTTTGAATTTGGATCTTCGCGTCTCGTCTCCTTCGCAGTTCGTGCTTCTTGTGCCGTCTAAACTAATTCCTCAGGTAAATTTTCATTCTCTCTGTGTGTGTGTGTTTTTTTTTTT